ATAATAATAATAATAATAATAATAATAATAATAATAATAATAATAATAATAATAATAATAATAATAATAATAATCTAAATAATCATCATTATCAGCATCATCTAAATAATGATGATGATGATGATAACAGCATCAACAACAGCAATAATAACAATAGTAAGAATAACCTAAATATTAATCTAAATATTAATACGGGCTCTGTCCCAATGAATAATCACATTGCTAGGACTAAAAAAAGGACTGGAACGAAAACCACAAGAAATTCGGCCCGTAAAGAAGAAATCCATAAAGTGAAGCCGACAAGAAGTTCGATAACAAAGAAGAAGGAAACACCCGACGTTGAATTTCTAGTGACTAATCCGAAATCGGTATTAAGGAGGATTAAATTACCGGTAATAATATTGATTTGACAATCATAATTTCTAGTTCATTATTAATTGATTCATATTTTTAGAAAAATCTTGATATGAAAGAATTTCTTCCGTTCAATGAAGAACATCAACAGCGATTACTTAATCTATTGCCCTTCGATGATAAAACGCCACCGCATAACGTGGATGATGATGACACTGACAACTATCCAGATAATGGAATGGAGATTGATTTGACAAAAGAGAACAAATCCCCTAGAGATTTACCAATTAAGAATGCTAATCGCTCATCACCATCGAAATTATCAGCGAAAAAGACAAGTGCCTCGTCATCAAAATCATCGGTAAACACTTCATCATCAAATGAGATGCCAGTCGAAAGTACATACACGATATCACCTTTGACAAATGACGATCCAGAAGAGTCATTGGCTGAAATTTCTCCACCCCCAAGTAATAATACTAATAATACTACTAATACTACTAATAATACTAATAATAATAATAATAGTAATGATAATGATAATGATCGCCCGATGGAATTGGATCGCGATAGTCTTTCCCATATTAACAACAACGGATGTGATAGTCCGATTCAGAACAAGAATAGTAATAATCAAACAACGGTGAGTCCGTTGATAGCTGGAGATGCTGCTTCTGTTAGTCTTCAGGAACTCTGTCAGGAAGGAGTCATTACTGTCGGAGATGAATTACATTACAAACGGTCTTTTAATAAGGCCAAACATGTCGTGGAGGGGATTTATAAGGTAAGAAGAATCGATATTTTTTTAATCATTTTTTTTCCTTAGTAATTCTATACAGTAACATTATGGCAAATAATAATTAGGTAGTTGAGATTAGAGAAGACGGTACATTAATAGTAGAACACAACAAATTTCCTGTTGACACCAGCACATCAATTAGCAACAACATCAACACTACCAACCCTGACTCCTCCCCCACCATCAGGACTTCGACGACTGGCTTGTTTGCCGTCACGAGACTAAACACCCTCGAGACCAAGGTCATCGAGGATGATGGTCATGTAAAAAAAGACCAACGTCCCAATGGCAATGCATATAAAAATTTCCGCGTTGTACGCGCTGGTCGAGATCTCGGCACAATCTTTGGGCTGAGATCCGAATACGCGCAAAAAAAGAAAAAGGACTAAGTTCTTTTTTCTTATTATTATTAATGATACATATATAATCTAATAATATTCATGATGTAGCCCTTTTGCAAAAAAAGTTTTATTAGTTCAATAAAGGAAAAATAATCTCATTAACCGATATCTCTGTTAATGATAACGCTTTGGCCAAATTTCAATTAATTAATCTGATTATCCATTTTTCGCGACTATACCTACCGGATGTACTCGCATACATGTCAAAGAGGGAAGAATCCACCAATTAGACTACCAACTACACATGTTGATCTCCTGTTACGCTAGCTTTAAAGTTTTAATTGTGTAACTTTTTAAATTACACGTCAAATGATGCGACATTATGACTTGTACTTATGTTATTGCGCAGATTGACACGAAATTACTGATTTTAGATTCAATTACTTGATATGGTTGCTAATGTTAATTAGTCTCTTGCTACCTTGAAGTCCTTTTCGTCATTACTTGCTAAAGGACCAGCAAAAAAATATTATTCAACTTTCTCTTGCTGAGAATTTTTGCTGTTTGTCCTTAAAATAGGCTTGAGAATCTCATTACGGGCATCCGCAAAGAATTTTTTTCGTATAACTTTGATGTCATTTCTGATTCTAGTTTGGCTTTTTGTTATCCAAGAGATTATATATAGATTGTTCATGGAAATCGACCGAATTCTCTATTTTTCTTGGCGGGATATTTAGACAAAATTTATGATGAGATCTATGAGTTAATAAAGAAATATATTTTGAATGCACCAGAAATGACTATGAAACTAGTTATTAAAGCACACGACTACATTTTCCAATTTATATAATATACACACAAACATCATCGGCGACTGCATTCCTCCTATGGATTATATATATATATATGCAAAGATATAGACGTATATCGATATATAATAACAAGAGAAAGAAAAAAATTTAATTACAAATTCATGCTATTTATTACATGTATTATTGTTATTATTAGATTATTATATTATTATTTAGAATATTATTAGATTATTATATTATTATTTAGAATATTATTAGATTATTATTTATTGTTATTCGAATTACTCTCAATTTAATAATCCTCAAAAGATCCAGCGTCAGAAATGTCCAAAAAAGAAATAATTGTTCCCATTTTCAAAAAATTAACCAAATATAAAAATTTTCCTACCACTTATACCATCAATGATGATGATGATTTGGTTATTATTAGGATATCATGACTTTCATTCAACCCAAAAAAAATCAAATAAAAATGTATTTTATTAATTAATTTTATTTCACAAATTCATCACCTCGCACTCGGTTGTTGGGATTGTAATTGACCAAAATAAGTGATTGCTGTCTTAAGATGTCGATAAGCTTTTGTCACATACGGAGGAATTCGAGAGTCTGCTGTTGGCGGCAATAGCCAGACGTCTAATCGTTGTCTGACGTTTGAAAACGCGTCTTTTGTATATGGATTCATGTGATATCGGAATCGAAGGAATGTTAGGTATAGAAATAGTGTAAAGACTCTGACTTTGAAACTGTAAATTTAAAAATTAAATAACAGATTAGTAGTGACTAACATAAATTTATTTTTGACGCCCAATTAGAATCAAACGCGCCAAAAGATCGTAACTATTAATGGCATCCGATCCACAAGTGAGAAATTAAATACTACATACATCAAAATATACGTCAACAACGAAGTCGTGATAACCACAACTTCAGCAAAGCTCACGGTTCGCATAGCAACCTCGTAATTTTTCAGAACCCAATTCTGGATTCCCTTTGATATGTTGATAAATGTTTTTGCATTTCCGGTAGCAGGCGAGTTGGAATTGACAGCGGATGACGCCGCGGCGGGCACAAAAGCCGGGATAATAAAAGAGCGGAAGTATGTGATCAAGTGGAACAAGGAGAATGTGGCATACGGTATTGGAGTGACTTTTTCATCGATAAATGAATGATTAACGAGCGAACGCATCAATGGCGTGAGCGGTAAATAATTGTAGGATGATGAGCGTTTGTAATTGTGGGATAATTACCAAGTGCGAATGTCTTATATACAAATAGGATCATTAATACATACCGAAGATTGGCGGGTTGAAGAACCAAACTACCGCTAACGCCAGGTAAAACACATTCTCATCTCTGTTGATGCGCTGGAAATAATCCCAATCCAATCGAGGAAACTATATTTGAAATTGCATTTCGACAATAAAAAAGTCAATGCCGATATCCTAATTCACTTTTTCTCGCAAATATTAATGCGAATAAAATTATCATTATTTTTCTAGCATCAGGATGAATGATAAATTTGCTCCCCCTCCTTGATCATAACTACCAATTATCGAGCTAAATATTATTTCGAGCAAAGGTCACTTACCCCGTATAACTTATAGACCACGACGCTATAACTCAACACCGCACCTCGATACACCCAATAATAATAGAAACGTGCACTCTCCAGCGACAAGGTAAGAAAAGACAAGTAGTAGAGTGACGTGCAAAGAATGACGCAAAGATGTCCTATCCACCAGACGAATTGTGGATGCTTTTATAAAAGGTATCAAAGAATTTTGAATTAAATCATTATTGGACAATGGTAGCGCGTCAAGAATTCCAGGTTGAAAGTCTCGTTTTTCCCAATAGAAAAGAAGAAGCATACCTTGACTAGAGTCTGGAGACGATATATAAGTGGTTGATTGGCTGATGGTGGTGGCATCTTGTAAGTGGGTTTCATAAGTTTAGATTTCGTGGCAGTTTATAAATGATGCCCAAGTTTTCTGTGGAATGATAATAAAAGCTGTATATGGCAAGAATTAAGGTGAATAAAAGTAGAATGATAAGTCTTAATGGATAAATAAATGTTTGTGGTTAATATTTTTTTCGTGCGGGGGAGTCTAACACGCAAAAATCAGATACGTGCGTTATTAATGAAAAGCGGGCACACAAAAATTATTCGTTCAGAGCAGAGTAACCGCGCCACATCCAAACGTACAGTAAATGATTATTATATTTTAATATCTAAAAAAAGACATCCTTAATTTTTTCTCCCAGAAACATTCGTTCCTTTTTTCCTACCTCTTTCTTTTTTCTTCGGAGAAGAAGACAGATATAGCATGTAAGCAAGTGTATGTGTGTGCAAGTTGAAATATAAGAGAACTAGACTTCTTATATTAAAAGGAAACGATGAACATCGAGTAGAACTAAAAGAAGTTGATTTAACTTTTAGCGATTTAATGTGGCAAGTGCATGCGAATTATCATTTTTCGATTTCAGCAATAATCGACAATATCCACACTAAAAAGAAAAAAATGGCAACTTTCGTACAAACTTCGACGACATCATCTTCAATAACCTCAACAATAACCTCAACACTCTTACTACCTACGTTTATCCTTTTACTCTACTACTTTATCCGTCGCTACGAAATCTTGGAACTAAAACGTCTCGCAGATCTTGATCAACGGATCGAACAGGCGAGACGTGAAGAACAAGAGATTTATAGCCGAGTCCAACTGTTTCGAGCCAGGATGAATTGGATGATCGAGTATCAAGCGGAATTCGCGACGCTTGATTGGCGTGATTACGTCAAAAGTTGGAAGGTTGATGTGTTGGCTCCAGTTGCATAGCTAGGAGATATTTGAATTGCAGTCAATAATGTATATTGTTAAAAAATTTGGAATGCAGCAAAACTGTCGTGATCGGATTTCTAACTTTATTTTCTGATTACACATGAATTTATTTCCATTTTTATAATTGTTCGCATGGATTTTGATTTTGAAGAAACACAGATATCTATATATGGGCGTGTTAAAATACCCGAGTAACTAAATTTATACCCAACAAACTCGTTAAAGCTTACGGAACTTTTTTTATCCTCCTTATCTGTTTTGAGGTGTTATTCATTGGAAGGGTATATTCGAGGGAGCGTTTGGTATACTGTTTGCGCGACGTTGACTAACTTGTATGTTCCTGCTAGGTGAGTTTCTGTTCTACTTTTTCTGATGCTAACTATTTTTTTTCCGAAAAAACTAGCTGAAAAACCACCAATATCACGATGAGGTTGAGGATATCCGACAACTTAATACACACCAACATATTGCAAAACTCGTGAAGATGATTGACTAACAAGTTCCTTGTCTCCCGACCTCGAACACTTGGCAAACCGTTATTTCTTTCTACTCTTGATGCCTTCTTCCACAACAAACATAGGACTCTTCATCGACAAGAACCACCCTAAAATTATTGTGATGTAAAATGACTGCGTTTCCAGTTATTTTCAAGGGTCTGTTACACAGATGGCATCCCTCATTAAGAACATGGCAAGATCGGAGAAGTATGTGTAGATCAAGCAAACTTGAGGACAACCAATGGAAGAAGGTTATTGTACTCGTGATGCGCCTATACTTGACGTTTGGAAGATAATTCAAAGATATCGAAAGCATCACTCACACATTTTTAAGACGCTCAAGTCTCTGGAAGTTATCGTCACTGGCACTCTATACTCGAGCATATTGCTCTTTTCAGAAAATGGTCTCGCAGATTTAATGTTGAGTTTGATGATAATGAGATACTATAAGCTCAAGTAATTCCTATAACATTATATATCGATATGTAAATATAATAAATATAGTAATATATTATAAAATAAATATTATAAATGTTGTAATTATCAATATAATAATATTTATATTAAAAAATACTAAAAATAATTTGGAATTATAGTAATAAAAGTAAATACAAGCTATTTTTTAGCAAAACTTTGTAAATAAGTAATTAGTAATCTTTTCACTACTAGTATTATGTTCAAAAATATCTGTTCAAACATTAAGTTGAATATTAATTTGAAAATGAATTTTGGAATATTGATTGTATTATTAATTTAATTGATAGTTTAACACACAGTGACTTTCTTTATAATATACTCTCTTTATAATGAAAACCAATTAATTCATAATATAATGGATAATATCCAAAACTATCTCTAATAAAATTCATTCAATATAATAGATTACTAATAACAAAAACTCTTAATATATAGTACAGTTACTTAATTATCACAATTGGCCAAATCTTTAAGACTTATTAACTCAACAATCTGAACTTTTCCAGTCAAAAAAATATATAATGTTATAAAATAATCAATAAACTATTGATTTACATATTTTCTAATTTTTTTGTATTATTTTGAGAGCTCTAATATAATTTGAAGTTAATTTTTTTGTGTAATAATTAAGTGATTCATACTATAATAAAATTTTTTATTAATATATATAAATTATTTTAATATATTATTATTTTAATTTAATATTTTACATATTTTTAGTAAAAATAATTATTACAAATTGTTATTCAAATAAATATTTAAATAATTATTCAAATAATTATATAAATGAATATTCAAATAATTATTCAAATAATCATTTAAATAATTATTTAAATGACATAATATAGAAAATCTAGTTTATAACTTTTAATATAATATTGTATTTTTTATTTAGCAAAAGAAAATTATTAATAATTATTATTTGAATTAATTAGACTTAAATTATAAGTTAATAAAGAGATTTTTTAAAAATATTTATTTATTAAAAGTTATAAAAGTTTAAATTTTATTGATTTTATTATAATTATAATTAATTTGATTATTTAATTTTAGTCAGTATGTTATAGTCATTCTTTATATAAACACATTATATAAAAATTTCTTTATATGTATATTTTTCATAAAATTAATATTTATTAATATTATATAAACAAATTTCTTTATAATTACAGTATTTTTATAATTATATTTCTTTAAAATCAATATTTAATAATATTATATAAAAAAATTTTTATATAATAATAACTAGAATTTTGAAAAAAAAGTCTGATTTAAAAATTCAAATCCAATTAAAAATTTAATTTGAGTTTAAATAAATATTTGATAAGCTTCTAAATAAAGTTATAGATCAAAATTAGAGCTACAATTAATATAAGATAATTAATATTGAAAATAAATATTCAAAAAGATATTTAAATTTAAAAATTATTTTTAATTTTTACAATTTTAATTCACTTTGGTTACTTTATAGTAAATATTTATTTTGTTATAGTAATAATAAATTATGATTATAAGTAATAATTATTCAAAAAGATATATAGAATTTATAATAAAATTTAATATAATCAAACTCTTTTAATTATTATTCTCAAAAAGCAAAATTGAATAACTATAAAAAAATATAACTATAAAAAGATCTTTTTTATTATGTTTATATATAAATAAAAAAGCAAAATAGAATAATTATAGAGAAATGTGATTATATTTATTAATTATATTTATTAATTATCTATTTATTACTATATATATACTATTGTTTTATGATTATTTATTTTTTAATGATTATCTATTCTTTAATGATTATTTATTCTTTAATAATTATCTATCATCTTTTAATACTATTATGACAAGTAAACAAGACTTCATTTTCAAAAAAAATATAAACCTAATTGTAAATCTAATGATATTTGAAAATATTTTATTAAAGTTTCTTTGAAATCATCATCTGGTTATTTTTCTACAGAATGTAAATTTTGTAATAAAAATAGAATCAGAGTTTTATTTATATTTTTCAATTTTATCTTGCAAATGAATGTAATACTTGTTCCAAAATTATTCAAACATATTATCTTGAATTTATTACAGCTAAAGATATATTAACTTCAGAAAAAACCACACTAAATAAAAAATAAAAAACAGAAACACAATTAGAAATTAATAATTTTTATAAAAATTAAAATTTATCTGAATTCAAAATAAATACTATTGTTGTATAATGGAATTTTATATTAATTATTAGTCAAAATTATCATTTAATCTTATTGGATAATTTTGAGAATACATGTTTATATTTAATTAGTTAAG